TACCGAGCGCGGAGGCGCGGCCCTTGGTAAAGGCCCTTAAAAAGCTTTTAAAAGCTAAAGACCTCAGGGTAGGTCAAAAAACACTGAAACTATTCATAGCAGAGGTAGATAGGGTGGCTCCCTGGTTTTTACCCACAGGGCATTTAAACCTGCCGTCATGGGAGAAGTTAGGCGGGGACCTCGCCTCGGCGGAATTGGGAGGCGATATTTCGCCGGCTATTCACCCCCTGTGGGAAATGATACATGCGTGCCTTGACTCCTATGCCGAGTTGCGCCACGAATTGTGTGCGTGTGCCGCTCGAAAAAAGCAGAGAGAGGAAAAAGGACCCCCAAGCGCTCTCTGGCGGGGAGGAGATAGAGAGCCATCCGCTCTGCCCTGGAGCTCTTCTCCAAAAGCGGCTCCCCGCCGAGAGGCCGCTACAGGGAACCCTCCCTTCTCTCAGCCGGCACAGGAAGTGACGCCCCGTTCCACTCTGTCGCGACCGCCGTCCTATGACGTTGCGCCGCGGGGCGGACGGTATTTTCATGGGCGGCTACTCTGCCGAGCAGGCTGAGAAAAACGCCGGTCGAGGAAACGGGGGCTGGGGATTTAGCTTAGCGGCATAAGCGCCTGCCTTGTAAGCAGGCAATCGCGAGTTCGATCCTTGGTACCGATAAAAAAAAAAAAAAAAAAAAAAAAAAAAAGCGAAAAAGACCAAAAAAAAAAAAAAAAAAAAAAAAAAAAAAAAAAAACAAAAAGGGGGAGTAAGCCAAGGCCTGCCTCCAAAGGCGCGGTTATCTATGGCATGACAATGGATGGGCCCGGATCCGGTGGTTAGCTGGAACTGAGGCGCGGTTTGTGTTTTTCCGCAGGAACCGGGACGAAAACCACTGTGGGTCCCAGAGAGGTTGACGCGACAAGTCCCTCGACTGAAGATCAGGCCTGTTCCACCAGGGGCCAACCGCAGACCCAACAACAAGATGAGCCCTAAAAGAACTGCAGGACAATCCCTTTTTGGGGAGCCTGGAATGGCTTGCTCCCCTATGTTTTACCATTGTTAGGTCCCCTGTGCTCCTTGCTTCTGCTCTTACTTGTAGGACCATTCTTGCTCCGATGGGTCACATCATTTATTAATGGGCGCCTTGCGGCGGCCCGGCGTCAAGTATGCCTGGTTGCCCATGCGGCCCTGGCAGCAGCCTGTGATGGGCACAATGACCCCCAGGCCTACGCATGGCTCGCTCGACTGGCCTACGACCGGGTCTAGATGTGGCGGGTCTTCCGCATTCCTTCCCTAATGACACCACACAGCAGGGTAGGTGAGTCAATGACGGGTAAGAGCGTGCCTCCCCAGCACGACTCGACCTAAGCCAGGCCCTACCCCATACTGCACGAAAGCCGCTGGATTACTAGAATCTGCCCAGATCTAGATGCCTCTCCGAGGGGATCACACGGAGGGGCATGAGTGCATGCCTATGTGCATCCAGGTTCCGTCCAGTTCACTCCTGGCCCTGGAAAAAGGACGAGGGTCTCAAGGCCTTGGCGGACCCAGGGGCGGCCGACCAGGGTCCAAGCCAAGGGCCTACGGTGGGCCTCAACACAGGGCATAAGCCTCTGCACTCAATCCAGGGCGGGCTGCGATGCATACATTCATTCAAAATAAATAAAATAGGGGGAGATGTTGGGAGCCGCGGCCGACACCGGTCGCCTTACTTGGCGGACGTAGGGCCTGTGGGTGGGAGCGGAGCCTGAGCTAGATTGCCCCTCCCATCGAGTGAGCCAAGTTGGTGCCTGCTTCCTGCCCCCTGATTGCGCTGGCGACTTAAACAACCCGCTCTGTAAGATAGTCTGCCTAGCAACAACTGATGTTAGCCAGTCAGCCCGCATCGCGCGCTTTGAACTGATTGGCTACTGTTGCCCTATAAAAGTAAATGCCTCTCCCGCCACGAGAAAGAAGCACAGAGGAAGCACAGAGAGAGATAGAGAAAGTCCACCGGCGAGAAAGGGCTGGTGGCAGAGAGGAGGCCTCGCGGGGCCCACGCGGAGACAAATAAAGGCAAGGTTGCACACCGCCAGACTTTGTCGTGTGTCTTTCCTGCCGGCCGGGAGCGACCGCGACATTATGTACTACAGACTGGCCATGAATTCACTAATGTAACCCAGTGTGGCCTCCAATACACAGTGATTCTCCTGCCTCTGCCTCCTGGGTGCTGGGATTGGGGGTGTACACTGCCATGGCCAGTGAGACCTCCTTGACTTAGACAAGTACTGGCTTTGGGGCTTTAGAAAAATTACTTTATGTTGCCAAGCTTGAGTTTTCCTCTATGTAATACGGGAACAGCAATGTATTTTTATAAGGTTACTGTAAAGATGTAAATTGCTTAATACAGAGCCTGGCCTGTATGAATCATTAGTACATTTTACCTAATGCCACTATAGGAAAATTTGCCTCAGATTCTGTTCAACTGACAACTACTAAAACCCCTGTGGAGGGTATCATTCTCCCACCCAGCAGTATGGCACAAAGATGAAAAGAAAGACCAAGAAAAATTCTGCAGTTGAGACTCTGAGATGATCCAGTGAGTTCTGTGAAACAAAATGTCCAGGAGTGCGAGAGCTCAAGGCTTTTGTTGCTATCAATCAGGGAGGTGGTGGGGATCACAGCAGAGTGTTAGGGAGGAAAAAGTTTTTACAGGTGTGGCTGTAAGGAGAAACACAGCACTTCTGCACCAGGCACAGAGACCCTCTAATTAACAGTGCAGCAGATAGCCTGATGTATACAAGGCTGAAAGCTATAATTCTGTGGTGGCCCCTGACCTCAACTGAGATGTTATCTCCAGCTTAGCCCTGGGATTTCACAGGCTCTTGCTTGAGCCCCTATTCTAGCCATCCATGTGTATGTGTGTTTTTGCTTGTGTGTTCAATAAGCCATGTTGGCATCTCGGCTGGACTCATCACATTCTTTTAGCCAATGAAGGAAAATCTGGTTCTACGTAGCCAGCTCTGCGTATCTCAGTGAACAGGGTTGAAGGAGAGATGAGGGAAAGATTGAGGCAAAGGGCTTCATTTTTCAGGGGACTGCAGCTTTGTGGTTTCCCACAAACAACATGCACTTTTGTTACTGGTGCCTAGTTATGTTAATTATAAAATGTGTGGGTTCTCCACTTTGATTTCCTGTTAACTTGATTTGAAACTCTGTATTGCTCTCACCATCTTGTTTTGACTGATTTTCCTCTATTCTGTTATGCTTGATAGTACCAAGTTTGAAAGTATAGGCAACAACTATGAAGACAATAAGATTCATTGTGACGCCCATTCTGGTTGACTATTATCTTCTTTTGAAGTCCTCTAATGTCTCCAATGTTTTAGTTTTATTGGTCTTATTCTTTACTGTTTTGTTCAATTTTATTATAACTGATGATATAGGCAATTCTTTTTAAGATAACAAGAGGCATATGGTAACCATTGTCGATCACCTTGTATTTTGATTTTACATTATGTATTATGTCCATCCTTTTGATTTGACTGACTCTGTCCTGGTATGTCACATTTGGTTTTACTTTCTTCAAAAAAAAAAAAAAGTAATAAGAACTGTGGGAGTAATAAAACCCAAAATGTGTAATTGTCATTGTACAAAAGAAAAGAAAGTTCTCTAAAAGATATAACTGCATATATATTTAAGTGTATAAGATAGATAACCATATTCCTGAGTTTTGTTGGATCATTGAACAAAACTGTTTACAGTCTGTTTGAAAGTCCTCTCTATATGCTTTAATTTTGTAACTTCAACAACTATTTCTAAGATGACAATATGTAATTAACTAGTGATTTCCTACTGTTTATTTATTTCTGAAATTCTGTACAACTTGTACCCTTTTTCTGTTTTTTTCTCCTTAAATAAAATTTAAAACAAACAAACAAACAAACAAAAAAAACAATGTGTGGGTTCTATTTGGTGTATTCATCCATGCTATCGTATCTGTCTCATCTCCAGCCTCCCTGTGCCCTTCCTTCCCCTCTTCCTCTTGTGCAATAATAGCCCATCTTTTACATTCATGCCATCTTTTCCTTTTTTCTTTTTTTTTTTGATTCCACAAATTAGGGAAAACATGATACTTGTCTTTCTGCATTGGCTTATTTCACTTAACATGGTCTCCAGTTCTACCTACGTTTCTGAAAAAGCTAAAACTTCATTCTTCTTTATGCTGAACATGCTCATCATGTGTAGAGACACTCCCTTTTCTTTATTTGTTTCTCTATTGATGGGCATCTTGGCCAGTTCTGTATCTTGGCTGGTGGGAGCTGTGCCACATAACGATGGCTATGCAGGTGCCCTACAGTGTGCTGCCTTAACTCCTGGGTGTGTACCGAGGAGTGGGTCAGTTGGATCACTTGGCAGTTCTAGTTTCAGTTTTTGCAGAACCCCATACTGATTTCCATAGTGGTTGTACTAATTTATGTTCACACCAGCAGTGTAGGATTCCTTTACCCTTGTCAGTGTTTATTGTTTCGTATCCCTTGACTGGGGGGGAAGGAATCTCAGTGTAAACTTTGATTTGCATTCCCTACAAGCATCGTTTTGATTTGCATTTCCATACCTTTTATGATGTGGACTTTGGCATCATAATGGACTCTTTCACTTCATAATTTTTGTGTGTGTGTGTGTGTCTTTTTCCTTTTTATCGGTACCGGGATCGAACTCACTACTGCCTGCTTGCAAGGCAGGCACTTATGCCGCTGAGCTAAATCTCCAGCCCCAATAATTCTATTTCTTTTTTTAATGATTATACTTCTAGTTGCTAGAAATAACATGGTAGTTTAAGAAACTTCATTTTTTTTTGTCTTTTTCTTTTTTTTTTTTATCGGTACCAGGGATCGAACTCACGACTGCCTGCTTGCAAGGCAGGCACTTATGCCACTGAGCTAAATCCCTAGCCCCTCATTTCATAATTTTTTAAATAAATTCACAACTGAGATATTTTCCTAATGGAAACTGACCTAAAATACCTCTTTCTCTTGGCAGATCTTGTACTGCACTTTAAACACACCTAAAATTGACATGCAGAGACTCCTAGGAGGGCAACTAGGTCTTGAAGATTTCATATTTGCCCACGTGAAAGGACTAAAAAAAGAAGTGAATGTATATAAATCTGAGGATTCTCTTGGAATCACCATTACGGACAATGGTGTTGGCTGTGCGTTTATCAAGGTAAGAACACAAGGCAACACAACAAAAGAGACGACAGGTGGCCTCAAAAGTGAGGATGGCCTTTAAGAAAACATACAGGGTCAAACGACCTTTGGAGAGAGAGGCGGTCAGCAGGGAAGCATGAATTCGTAATGGTTCGTTTTTAATTTAAAAAATATCCAAAGTCATCTCTGGTTTTTAAATTTTTGCTGCATTTCCTTGCTTCGGTTTAAACTTCCCCTGGAGTGCGGGACTTCCTGAAAAGGAAAGCCTACTGCCCAGCCGCTTCCCTCTTCTGGGTCTGTGGCCTCCCGTCTGCTGAGTCCCTGGGACTTGGTGCTGCTTCCAGCCACAGACTTTTGGGTTCCTCATTTGGTTCTTTAAAAGTGCTTGTCTGCATGATCTGGGTTGGGTGATTTCTGTAGTTAATTACAGAAGATAGTACAGTACTGCAAAGGCAAGAGGAAGAAGTTGGGGATGGTATGAAGACATAAGAACTAAGGAGCAGGAAAATGAAAATAACCCGGTTGTAACAAGGACATTTGTTCCCCTGGCTGTGGCTGAGTTTGTTCCTGAAGCTCCTGTGGATGCTTCAGTCTGATTATGCAAGTCTTTTATGTAAATGGCATCGCACTTTGCATATAACCTGTAGGTACCCTCTGTGTACTTTACATCATTTCTAGATTACTTGTAACACCCAACAAAATGTAAAGTTGTATCAGGAGTTGTTGCACTGTATTTTTGAGGGCATGATGAAAAGAAGTTTGTACATGTTCAGTACAGATACAGTTTTATTCATTTTTAATGAAATTTGGACTTTTTTGTACCAAAGATCAAACTCATGACCTTGTACTTACCAGGCAAGAGCTTGAGCCACTGAGCTAAATCCCCAGCCCTAAACATTTGGTGTTTTGAGACAGAGTCTTTCTATGTAGTCCAGGCTGGCCTCAAACTCTCCAAGTATCCTGGGCTGTTCTTGAAATTGTGGTAATTCACCAGCCTCAGCTTCCTTGTGCGGGGATTACAAGCATGTGCCACCATACCTGGCTTGAGGCACAGCAGATTTTTAATGTACAGCTTCATGAATGTTGATACACCAACATCCAGATTGATGGAAATCGTACCAGTGCTGTCCACAACTCGCTCTTGAGCCCTTCCTGGTTAGTACTTTTCTACCCAAAAAGTAGCCACCTCCTGACCTCCTCACTGTTAGCTCACTCTCAAAGGTCATATAATCATACATTATGTCATTTTCCAATCTGTCCAACTTGAAGTCTGTGAGATTTTCCCAGGGCAGGCAGTATTAGCAACCCCTGTGTTACAGGTATAAAAATAAGATCGGGTAGGTTAGGCTTGTCCAAGGTCTACTGCTGGACAAACCTAGCATTTGAGCTCAAGAAGGCTGACTCCAGAGCCAGCTACTCACACACCCTGAGCTAGGAGTTGGTGACAGAGTCACGAAACACAGGGCATTAGATGCCTTTATTTTGCTCAAACCCTGATTACCAGGTGGTCATCACGAACGGCTCCTCTTCAGAGAGTCACACTCACACTGCAAAGGGTGCTTCCACTTCCTGCTGCACACAGTGGCTATTTTTAGCTCTGCAAGAGAGAGAACTGTGCTGAAGGTTGAGTGGGTGACCAAATGGAAAAGCTGGCAGTTGGGACCGTCACGTGGGGTTGCCCAAGGGAAGCACAGGACAGGAGGTGCAGGAACAGCAGCTCTGTCCACACAGATGGGTTCTGCAGCTTTTAGATGTTAGCCTTGGATGTTCCTGGCTGTGTTTCGTTGTGTTATTTTTTTAATGCCTTGTCATATCTGTGTCTGCTTCAGACTACTGGTCACTGGTCTTGGGGCCACAGAGGACCTGGTAACCAAGAAGAAAGTGAACCAAGTGTAGTGGCTACGTGTCTGTGATCCTAGTACTCTGGAAGGCTGAAGCAGGAGGATCCCAAGTTTGAGCCTAGACTGGATAACTGAGAAACCTAGTGAGCCCGTCTTAAAATAAAAAATAAAAGGGCATGTAAAAAGCCCTGGGTTCAGTCCCCAGTAACACACGCACACACAGTGTAGCACCATCCAACTGACACAAGAATTCACTTTAAAAAATTCATATCATACTGTATACACATAGTTGATAAAATGTTTTTAAAATCAGAAGAGTAATTTCAAACAAGTACAAAAATTATGCTAGTAATATAAGCCAAAGGTGGTGATGCACACCTATAGTTCTAGCATGCAGGAAGCTGAAGCAGGAGGATCACTGTGAGTCTGAGGAATACAATCCTTATCTATTTCTAAGATTTTGTTTATCCAGTCTGTGTTGAGCTTCAGCAAGGCTGGAAATACAGGATGTTGAGGGAACAGAAGGTTTGAGGGTGGAGATGAGGGTCTGTGAACAGAAGTCTGCAATGCCGGAACAAATGGGATGGTTTCAGGTGACAGGCGACGTATGGGAGCTAAAGGCTGTGATATTCAGGAACAGTTTTAGTGAAAGTGAGAAAACAGGAAGTGGGAAGGCAGAAGTTGTCAAAAAAAGAAATTTCAAAGCTGAGCATAGTGGTGCACATCTGTAATTCTAGCACTCAGAGGCTGAGACAGGAGGATCACTGGGACTTTGAGGCCAACATGGACTACATAGTCAATCAAAGCCAGTGTTGACTCTATAGTGAGATCATGTCTTGAAAACAAAACAAAACACAACCAAAAAAATCTTCGAAGTTCACCTGGCCACAGTGGTACATGCTTGTCAGGCCAGCACTCTGGGAGCTGAGGCAGGAGGATCACAACTAGATGTCCAGCCTGGTCAACCTGGCTACTAAAAAGTTAAAAAAGATTGGAGATGTAGCTTAGTTCAAAGGCCCTGGCTTCATTCTTTGGCACGGCAAGAAAGGAAATTTCAGAGCTCAAAGGTGATTGATCACTTTGGGCAGTAATAATTCAGAACTGCAGGTGGGACCAGAGACCTTTTGCTTTACATCTGATATTTATTTACTTATTTATTTTTGCGGTACTAGGGCTTGAACCCAGGGCTTTCACACTGAGCTGCATCCCCTTACCTTTTGAAATTTTTGAGAGAGGATCTCACTAAGTTGTGCAGGCTGGACTCATATTTAATGACCCTCCTGCCTCGCCTCCCAAAGTGCTGTTTGCTGACAGGATTGTTGTCACTTCTGTTTGAGATCCAGGTCTGGTGTTGATTAGTTGTTTTATCTTGACCAAGCTGTATGATCGTTGTATATTGGTTTTCTCAATCATTAACGGAAACAGTACGTTTTCTTCCATCGTCTTATTGTGAGGGTTACCTGAGGGAGCTACTTATAGTTGTAAAACTATTACTTTATTGTGACCCGAGTGTCATTTGAGGACAGCATGGGGCAGCTCAGCAGTGCAAATCTCAACACTGCTGAACTTGGCTGGTCATGCAGCTCGTTTTGCCTGTGTAAGGTACAGGTCCCTACCCCCAGTACTGGGGAGGCTGAGGCAGGAGGACCACTGTGAGTATGAGGCCAGCCTGGGCTACACAGTGAGTGTAAGACCAGACTAACTGCATAGTAAGACCTCGTCTTAAAAACAAACAAATCCTAAAACAAAGCAAACAAAACCTTGAGTCTGCTGCTTAAGGTTTAGGGTGGGTGGCACATCCTTTGGTGTCACTGATGTCTCTGGGGAGAAGACATGCTGTCTTTTTTAAAATTTTTGTACCAGAGAGCTAACTCAGGACTGGACAGGCACTTATGCCACTGAGCTAAATCCCCAGTCCCCTCTGGGTGGAAGAAAGGTAAGTTCTTGCTAGGTGATCAAAGCAGAAGGCACTGCGGTTCGGAGGCCTGTGTTTAGCAACGTAAATCCTGCCTTCCAAAAATTATCTGAGTCTTTGCCTTTATAGCACTGGTCTCCAGAGCCCGACAGAGAACAGTGTCAGTGCTCGTGTAAATACAAGCATGGCACTCTTGGTTCTTTGGGCCTGAGTAGCACTCTTACCAACTTCAGGAATTGATGTCCAGCGATTGTGTGATGGTCATATTTCATGAGTGTTGTCATATTTCAGAAACTCACCTCCATTGCTTGTCCTCTCTTTCACCCATAGGAGCCAAGTTTTCAGGAACTTCAATAATCAGTGTCTCCACCTTGGCTTCTGGGCCATCTTCTGCTGCTGTTTCCCAAGTTTCTTCTGTTGGTTTTCGTTCTGTACATCCTAGATCCTTCTCTGCTGCCTCTAAAACCTGCACTTGCTTCGGCTCCCTCCCAGCGACCTGGACTCTGGATTGCAGCGCTACAGTCCTCCTCCATCTGGGTACTGATCCTTCCTCCTCCATCCGGGTACTGATCCTTCCTCCATCCGGGTACTGATCCTTCTTCCTCCATCCGGGTACTGATGCTTCCTCCATCCGGGTACTGATCCTTCCTCCTCCATCCGGGTACTGATCCTTCCTCCGCCATCTGGGTACTGATCCTTCCACCTCCGTCCAAGTACTGATCCTTCCTCTTCCTTTGGGATACTGAGCCTTCCTGCTCCATCTGGGTACCCAGCCTTCTTCCTCCAACTGGATACTGAGCATTCTTTCTTCATCTAGGCCACTTTGCTGTTGGCTTTTCCAGCTATGTGCATGCATGCATTGGAGAAGACTGCCGATATTCTGATCTTCTATTCAGTGGTAGGAGTTATACATGGTATTTAACATTTTAAAATAAAACTACAGCACTAGATCTTAAAAACTAAAAGGAACGCGTGGTAGAACACTGGGATTTGTATATTGGAGCAAAAGGAAAATAGTTTCAAGATGTATCAGGAGATAAGTTAGCACAAAAATGTACAACGTCAGTTAAATATAGACCTTCAAATTTTCAACAGTTTAAGCACAGTTATATAACAGAACATTTATAGGTATTTTTTTTTTGTTAGACTTTAATCTCTTTTTCATCTTATTTTTATGTGGCCATTTAGAAACTAGTTTTGTTGGGTGATATGGTGTGGTTACCATTGTTTCTGTTAGCTGTGTGAGGCTAATATGGATTTCTAATGAAACAGTGCCAGTCGGATTATGGGACTTTTGGTTTCTTTGTTTTATAGTTAGTTGTTTATAATATTAATTAGCGGTTTAAATTGGTATCACATTGTTTTCATATAACATGTTAGTAATTGCTATAACATGGCAAATTTTTTTTTTATTTTGCTGTATTTGCTATCCTTGCTATTTTTCACTGTTCTTGCTATTCTAGGCTAGTCTTTTTTTTTTTTTTTTTTTGTCTTTTTCCTTTTTTATCGGTACCGGGGATCGAACTCACGACTGCCTGCTTGCAAGGCAGGCGCTTATGCCGCTGAACTAAATCTCCAGCCCCCTCTAGGCTAGTCTTGACTCTGCAGCAATCCTCTTGCCCCAGCCTCCTGAGTGCTGGTATTACAGATGTGTGCACCATGCCTGGATAATATTCTTTAAAATTGAGGATTAAAAAATTTTATTTTGCATTTTGCTATATTAGAATACAAGGGTTTCCAGGGATGTAACTTGGTGGTAGAGTACTTGCCTGGCATGCATGAGGCCCTGGATTTGATCCCTAGCACTGAAAGAAAGAAGGGAACAAAGAAAATTAAATACATTTTAAAAATGTAAAAATTAAGATGCCCAACCTTTGCAGAGTCGTCTTTGACAGCCTTTGTGCTGGGGTGATGAGCTGAGTCCCTCTTGACTCTGGGACAGAGTGACGAGCAGATCACATCACACGCTGGGGCACAGCAGTGGTGGGCGTCAGTAAGTCCATTCTGCCTCCCTACCAGGGGCTCATCATCCTGAGGCCCTGGCCTTTATTTCCCTCCCTTGTCACTTTGGAAGAACTTGTCCACTTGAGGGCTGTTACCCTTGGGTTTCCTGCTCCTAAAGCCCTTTTGTCTTAGACATTTTAGATCTCATTTGAGGCTCAGCACAACAAATGCACTGTAGAGAAGTAAGTATTAAGAAAGACCAGCTTCAAGTTCTCCTCATCTAAAATATATTATAACAAATGATGATATAAAATTACTCTCACTGACTCCCAAAATATTAGGCATACTGCCTGCTACTCAGCATCAGTCGTCTTAGCTGGGATCATATCTCTTGGGGGAGGCTGAAGAGTGTAAGTAAGTGAGGTTGACAAAATGTAGTCTGTGGAAAAAGCTCCAGCACAGATACATGGAGGCTTCTCTGGTCGGCCTCATGTTGAAATGATCCAGCCGGGGCTGGGGATTTAGCTCAGCGGCATAAGCGCCTGCCTTGCAAGCAGGCAGTCGTGAGTTTGATCCCTGGTACCGATAAAAAGGAAAAAGACACCCCCCCCCCCAAAAAAAAAAAAAAAAAAGAAATGATCCAGCAAGCGTTTGTAGAGGGATTTTCTGTGCAGGTGCCATGCGAGGCACAGGACACACGATGGTGAAGAAGACCCTCACTGTCCCAAGGGTACTGCAGTTTAGCAATGGACAGGGGGAGGTAAATGAACCCTGCACTGTGGGGTGTTGAACCAGGGAAATCACTTGATCTTCCCAAGTTTAAATCTTCCTGATCAGTGATGCCTTGGAGAAGTTGATAGGATTAAGTACATAACAAGTGTAAAGCCCTTGGCTTGGAGGGCAGTACGGTAGGAAAAAGTTCATCATAGGATGAGAGTGGCATTTTACCCAGGCTCAGGGACATGAGTTGGGAAGGTCAGGCAAAGCTTCCCAAGGAAGAGATGACTGTGAGGTATTAGAGTGCTGAGTAATAAGGAAGATGCGTGCTTGGAGGTCAGATGACTGTTCTTTATTGCTAGTGGTATTGTTGGTGTTGTTATTATCATCATTGTACTAGGGTTCACTCCAAGGCTTTGTGCCTGCTGGGCAGGCACTCCAGCACTGAACTGCAGCCCAGTCCTTTTCTATTTTATTTTGAGAATGGGTCTTGTTAAATTGCCCAGACTGCCTTTGAAATTATGATCCTCATGCCTCAGCCTCCTGAGTAGCTGGCATTACAGGTGCACGTGCCGCACCCTGCTCTCACCACGTATTAAAGCACATCGTTAATATGTCAGGATGTTGTATATGATAACTCAAGAACATAAAAGGTCGAACGTCATGTAGCTCTGTTTTTGTATTACCACTAATTTTCTTTCTTTCAGAGAATTAAGAGTGGCAGCATTATTGACTCAGTTAAGACGATCTGTGTGGGGGATCATATTGAATCCATAAACGGAGAAAATATAGTTGGATGGCGTCACTATGAGGTTGCTAAGAAGTTAAAGGAATTAAAAAAAGAGGAACTCTTTACTATGAAGTTAGTAGAACCCAAGAAGGCATTCGGTAAGTTGGTAGCATGTGCGTGTGCATGCATGTGTGTGCGTGTGATGTGTAATGTCTTTCTTTGTCTTACCTAAGGGAAGTGAGTACTGTCATGTGTTACCATGTACTTTTTTTTTTTTGGTCCTTTTCATTTTTTATCAGTACCAGGGATCGAACTCATGATTGCCTGCTTGCAAGGCAGGCGCTTATGCCGCTGAGCTAAATCCCCAGTCCCACCATGTACTTTTAATACATCAACACATTGCTGTACCTAACATGTCTGGTAAGAATGTAGAAAACGATAGCACAAGGAAAACATTTACTAAAGGAATAAGAAAGAAAGAAAACAGATTGCCTTGTGGAACAATACTGTCTAAAGAGCCCGTGGACTCCCAAAGCCAGATGTCTGGTGGCTGCATGTGATGTGCGGTCCCAGTCTCGGGGGATGGCATGCTGCCTTGTGTTCTTTTTGCTGAGCAGTGAAGGTTTGGATTGCACTCCGTGAATGACTATTATTTGTTGGCCTCTGCAGCAGCGATGCTCATTGTACACAGCGCTGGTGATTGAAATGATTACCTAGGGTGTCTTAAAGGGCTCTTTATGGGGCAGTGCGAAACGGCTCCTCTGGAAGTGCCATCTGTACTTGGCTGCCCCTAGTCAGGCAGCTGGATTCCAACTGTTGTTTGAACTTGTGGGTCCCCTCATGAGTGGCAGAATGTGCTGGCCCCTGGGTTCCCAGCACTATTTTAATAAATCAGTTGAAGCCTGGTGTTCATCAGAGTGGAAACATTCTCAGTAGGATCATTCCAGGCCACCCTTGCCTGGCCACCACCCTGCCCTCCCTGTTTTCTTCCCTTCACTCCCAGAGCACAAACCCTCTTTCTCCTCTGTCTTGTTTGCTCTTTTCTCCGGGCAGCCAGTGAAATGGTGGGAGCAGGCAATGGGTCTGGGGAATGACATTTTCATTAGCCAGTGGGTGACACATTCCAGCTACTTCTGTGGGAAGGCCGTGGGTTCAATCCCCAGCTTCAGTGGGGCAAAAGCAAACCAGAGGGTGCCTGTGCCAGCATAGCCTCAGGAGGGCCCTGGCAGAACCATCCCTGTGGCAGCTGTGATTGGGCTGTGCAGTGGCTGCGCTCCTGGAGGCCAGCAGGCTCCTTCCAGCAGCTCCCCCACCCCCACCCTACCTTTTGGTACTGGGGATTGAACCACGCCCTTCACACTGAGCTCCATCCCAATTCTTTAAAAATTTTTTTTTTTAAAGAAAGGACCTCACTAAGCTGCCCAGGTAGGAGTGGAACTTTCAGTCCTCCTGCTTTAGCCTCCCTGAGTGCTGGGATTATTGTATAGGTGTATACCACCATGCCCTTTGTAAAGGCTTTGTTTGACTGTCCAGCTCCCCAGATGGCATGGAGTATAAACTGATAGGGTATAGGTGGTCTCTGATAAGTGGTCTTATTTGATTTAGACTCTTTGTAAATCAAAGCTATTCCTGGTTCAACACCAGGAATATACTATTTATCTCTAATGCATAATCTATTTTCAGGAGTTAATCTTTCCATTTTTTTTTCCCTGCTGAATGCATGTAAATCCTTTTTTGGTCCCTGTGTCTCTGTATAAAGTTGTTGTTTCCCCTTCCTCTAGGTACATGTTGCTGATAGACTTGACCGTTACAGAGGTCATTGCATTTAGCTCTTTTTATCCCATGATTCTATTTTTCCCTTTAATATCAGAGACATGAGATGTAGTTAATGTGCTCATGTACCTCACTGCTCTCAGACTTGCTCTGTGTTGTCTCATGACTTTAATGGACCCATTTGCAAAGCACCCTGGGTAGAATTTTTCTTTTCTATTTTTTTTTGGTACCGGGAATTAAAACTCACAACTTTGCACTTGCAAGGCAGGCACTTATGCCGCTGAGCTAAATCCCCAGCCCTTGGGTAGGATTTTTCTAATAGGGTCATATTATTTCAGAATCCTGAATTCTGTTGGTGCTATGGGTTAGAGTACCTGGTCTAAAAGGACTAATATAAAATATAGTGTATTTAAATTAAAAATTTATTACAGCATAAGACACATTTCGATGAATCCCCCACAGATTCCATCCCTCAGTTCAAACACACTCATCCCATCCTTCCTGCCACTTTCTGAAGCAGTTCTGGAAGTCCTCTTTCATGAGTGTCTTTATGAGGCGTGAACAGAATACGGTGAGTGCCCTGCTGGCACCATTCACAGCAAAACATCACAGTTGTGTCTTTTTTTTTTTTTTTTTTTGTCTTTTTCCTTTTTATCGATACCGGGGATTGAACTCACAACTGCCTGCTTACAAGGCAGGCACTTATGTAGCTGAGCTAAATCCCCAGCCCCCACAGTTGTGTCTTTATTCATCTTATTCACCATAAAACTCCCGAATTTTCCCCCGGGGTCAAAATGGTAAGCATTTTGAAAGGTAAACATTTTGAATCGATTCAGGACATGGAAACCATCCTGACAGCATAACTAAGCACACCCACCGAAGACTTCAGAACTGCTTCAGAGAGTGACAAGAAGTATGGAATAAATGTGTTCAAAGTGAGGCTTTTTGGGGGGAGGGGGGTTAATGATCATAGGATAAGTTTTCCTGTAAATATTAATTTAAAAAATTAATTTTAACCAAATTTTTGATCGCATTCTAGTCTGGGGCCCACCCTAAGGTTCCTCTCTGAGTTTGCTCCCCTGCTGGCCCTCCAGCTCTAATAGCGCTGCTTTTATTTTTGCCTCTGGGACAAAGGCAAAGTTGGCTTGTTCCTTATCCTCTGGCTTCATCCCAGTACCTAGCTCTGTGCTGGGGAGGGAGAATGTATCAGGAGGTACGTGGAGGAGCAGGCTTCCCCCGATTCTTTTGGTCCTAATCTTGTGCTGTGTTTCCTTCTTTTCTTCCTGTGTTTTCTGGCATTATCATTGACTCAGAGCCAGAAATCCCAACGTTATGATTGTCTGACTCTCGGTTATCTCAAAGCCCCACCATGGGAAAGGGCCAGTCTAAGTGGGGCGGAATTTCATCTGTGTTTGTGTAGGCCACTTTGGCTGAAGCTAAAGCATTCCTAGGATCTTACCAGTGGCTGCACACTCCAGTATTTGGATCTTTTTCTACCAGCTTTCCCAAGGATTTAGCCAGGGGAAGCATGTGGACTGGAACCCAAAATGCAGCTGTGTATTGCTTTGCAGTGGCATAAAGGACGTGAGCCCGAGTTCTCCACGTGGGCGGGGAAATCCTTACTACCACATCTTTGGCCTGCTTCAGGGGTCAGTATATATTTGAAGATTCATAGAGAGCTGCAGAGTGAATGTTTTTGATTTAATGGACAGGCATTGGTTGGAAGATGCCAAATAGTTCTTAAGCCGAGAGAGTTGATCAAACCTTGGAAAGGTCAGGAACCTTCAGGATTGTGTGTGCCAGGAGACTTTAATGGCCCTGGCTTGATGGACTTCCAATTATTTTTTGTCTTCATGTCACTCCATTCAGGATTCAAAGTCGTAGGGGAGAGAGAGAGGCGATCTGGTTAGGTCATATGTTCTTTCTGACAGTGAGGAAGGCAGGCTGTATCAGTCAGTGCTCACTAGAGAAGCAGATCTAATGCAAGGCATATAAATATGGTAGGCTTTACAAGGCAGGCTGGCAGTGGCTGCCCCCAGAGTGAGGTATAGAAGAGAGCAAAAGCACTGTCTGTGCACAGGGCATCTGGGGGATTCCGTCCAGGGTCAAAGCTCAGTGTAGTTTCACGTTCGAGTCTGAGTCCTCATCAACAGCCTGGAGGGTCTGTGATGGAGGCAGAAGAGTCAGTACTGGGAGCCAGGAGATGCTGTCTAAGGTGAAGGTGAAGACTGGAGCGCCTCTGAAGAAGCAGCAGTGATCCTTCTTCATTTCCCTTTTGTCCCATTCCGGCCACCGTCCTGTTGGTTGGTGCCACTCACACCCAGAGTGGGGTCTTCTGATTTCTGGAAATCCCATCAGCCACACCGAGAACTATGTTGATCCAATCACTTGATTACTCAAACTGACCCAATTGGATAACTATCAACAGGCTGTGTGATTGATAGCCCCACCCCAAATCTCACAGAATGAGGGGAAATTCTTTCAGGTAAGAAAGAAGCAGGTGTCCATTTAAAATTTCTCCTAAGCTGTGACACCTTGTCCTACAGGCAGAGCAGGGCTGGTTTTCTCTTGATTTCTTCCCCACTCCCTTGATGTTGGCCTTCCTCCTTCCTTCTTTCCTTCTTTGTTCTCTTATTAGTCCATGTTTGTGATATATAATGAACACATTCAACATGGTGGTTGTACATCCCACATTTTAGTCCTTTTTGATTCTCTTTGACCCTCCCCCCATTCCCTCCATCCCTAGATGGTCTTTCCATCTGTAACGACGTCTACTTTCCTCCTTTCTATGTTTTCCTCTTGACTTTGAACCTGACTTATGCCGAGTATGATGAGCCACCAGTCTGGGAGTATTGGAATAGATCTGGAGGAAGAAGGGTGTCCTTAAGAATGTTTATTTTTCTTCTAGTAATTGAGTGTCTGTTCATAACTGTTTAGCAATAGACTGGGTAGAAAAGAAGACAGTGTTAAACTTTGTTTCAGGGAAGAAGTAGGGTGGTATTTCTCTTGGTACTGACCATTGGGTTTGGATACATAGTACTTCGATTGGGTACACAGAACCTGCAATTATGTGTGTATCCCTCAAATTATTTGCAGAGAATCTCCTGCATTCTAGATATTGTTAGGCGCAGTGAATGGTAAGACAGAAGACAAAGCTATGGTTCCTGCCTTTTGAGGAACTCACGGTGTAGCAGGTTATTATAGTTTAATTTCGACCTTTAGAATTCATATGTGGAAGTCTTAGTCACCAGTAGTCCTGAATGGGCCAGTATTTGGAGCTATAAAGGATATGTAAAAGGGTAATTAAGTTAAATTGGAGTCACTGGGATGGGTCCTCATCTGGGGTGACTGGTATACCTGTGAGAGGAGGTGTGGACCCAGAGGC